TCATAAACATCTTGGATTTGAACTGCAAGATTATCTTATCTGCCTTATTTTTGTCTATATCACGTCCACTATCATTCATTTCTGTGTTCACGTTGAACAAAATTCAATAAATGAAAGCAGTACAGATTATGTTAGATGTTTGTTAAACTGGAGTGGAGTTTCAGAATAACACGAAAATGCTTCATACTTCTACGTTTTATGTTTACATTTATTTAAATACGTTTATGAGCCTATATATATATCTGCGTGTCTGCATGCCTACATGTCAAAGCAAAAGAATTAGATGGGATTTAAGTGGAAATTTAATACTGTTTAAACCAGCCTTAACGTCTGGAAAAGACAGAAATAGGCTATGATGTAAACATACATATTTGCTGTTAAAAATGTTGATGTTTCTGTTTGTTAAAACGGGACTACAACGTGAGACTATTGGAAGTAAATTTTGATAAGTAAGCGTTAATTAACCTCTATGTGTGTGTACTGACGATGAGCCCCAAACTAGCACGAAACAGCTCTCCAGTATTCCTTGGTTTTCACTGCTTCTCTAACTGGTATCAATTCGTGGACAAACCTGAAAGACAAATCGAAACCCTACAGACTAACTCATGAAAATTAACACTTTGTTTAGAAGACATTTATGTAAGCGATATATGTAACATGAGGTATTATGCTTCAATAAGTTCGAAGGCCTTCAAGCAGCTAGCCTTATTTTTGATCGGTTATTGTACAGCTGACTGAACAGCCTTGTCCTAACCGGTATTCATTCAAGCCTCTGGTTCATGAAATGAAGTTTAATACTTGACTCAATAAACCACAACTCTACAATGTTAGCCTAGTGTATACCAAATGGATTTTGTATCTTATTGACTTGTAAACTAATAGAAATTTCCTTTTCTATCTCTTTTATTCTATGAGTATAGAAGTAGGATTTTACAGACTAGCTTTAGTTATTCGAATAGTTTTGAAAAATAATCTGCACAATTCATTTGAAAAACAAGTACAGGTTAATTTTTGTGAAAGTCTTAGTGCAAGTGAAAATTGTAATTGAAACACTAATCATAGTTTAGACGTTATTGAGTAGTAATCAATTGTCATTTTTATTTTCCTAAACTCTAATCTTGATGGAATTGGGTAGTCCAATTACAGTGAATTTCTTTAATCTTACATTCAATGTTACAAAAATCTAGTTCAGCTTAAGTCAACCCCATGTCTCGTTTGTCATTGGCGAAATATCCTGTAAGTCTCATCCATTGTTTACTAATTCTCGGCTAAGAGACATGTTGACCGGAAGCAGGAGACATAAAATGATTATAAATTGGATGAAATAAAGTCATTCGCTGAGCTAAAGCTTTTACTGAGCACGCTAGGACATACTTTATGCATTTCCAGCCATAACCTTGTTCGAAGCGCAGCGTAAGGTGTAGAATAATTAGCTCTCAGAAAATAGGATTTGTTGGAAAAGTAAGTGGCACCTATCAATGAAGTTTGTGTTTTCGAGTCTGAGTCATACAGAAAGGTAAAGAATGTACGGATCCTTGGGTAGACCAGAAACTTAAAGAAATCTGGTGGATGGTAACTGTCTGTGGAATCCAGGATGCGCATTTCCTCCTATTTGGGACTCGTCGTCCAGATGAACCTGCATCTTCAGTAAGTGTCGTCGTTCCTAAAGTCTGAACGCTTCGGTTCAATCAATCAACGGGAAAATCAAAACTGACTTAAACAAATAAGGTTGAAAACTTAGTTCAATAGAGTTCATAAATATGTCAATATCGAGTTTATACTTATTCTAAGTTATCTTCATATGATTATTGTCATTCCTTTTGCACTATGAAAGCTTTTTATCTATTTTCATTATTTCCTCGTGTTCAATTCTGAATGTAGCAACACGAACTGGTGCATTCTTCAGATAGGTTATTTATTGATTCATCTGTCTATGTCAGTCTGTTAATACGTTGAAGCTAAAACTAAATATGTTTATTGAGTGCTTTTTTTGTAGTATTTTCTGCATCTTTAGGAACGAAACAATATTTGTTGAAACTTTACTTTGTACGCTGAACATTTGAAGTTTTGATGATATAGCTTTAGACCTACCTAGATAATTTATGTTCTATATCTGTATTCTTATAAAGAAGAAGCTAAATTAAATGACCTTAACAATAGTCTTTTAAAATGAATGTCTACGGAGTTCAAGTAGTATGGTGTTTAGGTTAATTTATAACTTACAGGTATAAACTTTCCATTCCATGAAAAAAATGTATTTCTCCTAATTTTTGTAGATTATAAAATTATGACAGTGTTATTTTGTCTGGTATCAGTTATTTCATTTTATTCTTTTACGTTCCCAGTGGAACATAAGGCTTCAGCCTAGAGCTTTGGGGTTTCTGTGTTTATTCGTATAAGATTAAAACTTGTGCACTGTGGTAGAGTATAATTCTATCATGGGTAAAATTTATTTTGATGAAGTCTCGCATTGTTATACAGTAATATTTACTGATGGCGTTTCGAGCACAATTTATTGCTCACAATCATATCATGGCGATATGATTATGAGCAATAAATTGTGCTTGAAAAGTCAAAAAAGGTGTTTATTTTTAAGCGATTGGATTGCCCAACCTTCTCTCTTTACCAGTCTAATTACTAGCTGAAGGAGGTATAAGAGTGAGTCAGCCGGGGATTGAATCCCGAAATACTTGGCTGGCGAGTATTCTACCGTTGTGCCACCGACGCACAGTCTGATATTAGTAGGATAAAATAAATCTTATTTCTAAGTCTCCTAGTGATTTACAACTGGTTACCTTTATTTTCCATCTATTCTGCTGCTCTGTATTGTTGTTTTCTTGACAAAAATAAATACTCCACTGTTAGGATATTTAAATATTAATGAATGTGTGAATACTAATTGCCTTAAATAATGGGCAATGAAGAAAACAAATTGTCAGCTATATATTGCTAAACAAGCGTAACCAATATACACATACACAGATATGGAAAGCTAACTCATTTGTGGTTAGAGTCAAAAAGTAGGCGGGAAGATCACGAGCTCAGATAGAACGAAAAATACATCCAGATAAGAAAAGGTTAAAATATATTAGACCTTTCTAAGTGCTAAGACATCATTATTCCTACTTAATCTGCACATGAGACACAATGGTCAATTAAACAGTAATACCACCTGAACAGCTAGTGAACCAAATAAAAGTAAAGTCAAAAAGGTAGGTTAATAGCTCATGCTTACTACATTGAAGTTGAAAAACTATTTTTCTCGTAAAAATAAGCTTGAGAAGCAACACAACCAACTGGGCATTTTGAACTAGACTATACATATCAGTCATTTGACGAAAGCAAGAAAAAGATTACTAGTAGGGTAGTATATTTCAATCATATATTTATTTCTCACATATCAATATATATATATATATATATATGCTATTGCTCAATCTAAATATCTGCCTTTCTTAAATGTCAATTAGATATTGAATACTGGAACTGGGAGTAGATATAACGTAATTTAAGAAATCTTCATATAGCATATATATATGAAATTAACTGAATGACATTTCTCAATTTTGACCTTTTAGCCTACTTCTGCCTATTTCTGTCCTTCCTTAAGATTTTATTCAGTCGATTTTATGTCATCTGGTACCAAGGACAATCACTTAATCTGGATATAATAGTATATTTTTAAGGAAAGCAGCATAAAAAGTGGTCAGGGGGAAATAAATATCATTCAGTTAATTTGATACATGTCATAATCAGATTTTATTCACTGTTGTTATAGTTACTCACAGTCCCAGTAAGAATGATTGTGTTCAACATCTAAACGACTTATAAAGAGATACTCAGGATAATCAGTCGTATGTATGTATCTGAGTAAATGAAGCACTATATTTCACATTCACATATGAAAAATACTCATCGAAGGCACTAACTGGTGGTAGCGCTATGTCACAAACTGATAGAAATTAAAATTCATGGCCTATTAAATTATATCCCATTGGCTGAATGGTTAAGTCGATAGGCTCGTAACATGAGGGTCCTTGGTTCGATTCCTAGTAGGATTATCATTTAACACTGCCGTACGAGCTATTCTGTGCTCTTTGGCTTTCGATGATGAAATCTATAATGAAATTAATCCTAATCTTTACAAAATTCAAAATTTCAATATAAGTATGTGACCACGTGTTAGAAAGTTATAACTAATATAAAATTATTATGTGGTACTATACATTACATTTTTTTATCTTGGAAAGTTTGGCGCTCTATTAAAATCTCCACTGTTTTAGTTTTTACAAATTTTAGAAAATCCTTTGAAATCCCTTAAATTTCATGGTCATTACTATTAATACTGATTAATATTTAACCACTGTGAAGGCTTTAATTCTTCTTGAAGCTCAACACTTTATCAGCTGTCTGCCTTTCAAGAATTTTTTTATTCCTTCACGTTCCCAGTGGAACATAGGGCTTCAAGCTAGAGGCTTGAAGTTTCTGTAGCAGTGTTTATTTTTACAGGATGTGGTTGATAGCCTCATGCCCAACCTTTCCTCTTCACTAGCTTTATTTCTGGCTTAGTGAGGTAAAGGTGTGCGCCGGCCGGGGATCGAACCTCGGACCATGTGCATGGTCGGCGAGCGTCCTAACCACTATGCCACCGACGCACACTGCCTTTCAAGAATACAAAAGTGATATTTACGCTTCATTTCCACAGGCACGTTTCATAGCACAACTCGAATTCTAAATTGAACTGTTCTGAAATAAATGCGATAAGGTCTTCAGAATTATATAAATTTAAATTTTGCAAATTAAGATACAGAATGCGTGGGATCAAAAATCTGGGTCATCATCTGATTTAAATCGTGAATTTTCTCGGCAAATAAATCATTTTTCTGCTCTTAGTAAAATAATCTTTCTGTGTTAGTAGCTGAGGGTAATTGCTGTTTAATTTTGGTTTTCATTCATATATAAACATTCATTTCATTAGTATTTTTATTGTAACTTTCCAGCCCGTACCTGCTCAAATATTCGTAAATAATGCTGGACTCTTCATCTAGTGAAGACGAAGAAGGTGTAAGCGGATTTACCAATTACAGCAGCAAACCAATTTCATCACATGTTGCCAGTAATAGACTTCCAATTCAGTCGCAGAAAGCTCCTTTATCCAGCCGATTACAAACAGAGAGTATCGGTACAGGACAACGGGGTTTACAGCCTAGACCTGTAAATACTAGTACTTCTAAGGAAGTCAGTGTTCCATATGGGCGTCAAAATTCTGTATCTCCACACCATGCTGATAGTGTGGATCATAGTCAGTCCCCACATTCGAAACAGCGCTATGCATCAGGATCAAGGGATCATGTCAGTTCTATTCAACGTGGCAGGCCACCTCGTCAGTGGCAAAATGAAACATTTTCACGAAGTGGTTATGGGTAAGTTTGTTTATTCTAAACAAAATATTGACGTCATCCTAACTTTCTGACTTGTTATCAGTGATAATATTTAAACAAGATTGAATATCTTATTTAGGACTTTAATCCTTCAAAGCGTTATATGACATTTCACTCAAAGATGCTTCTTAAATAAACTATCTGTTTAAAACACTTTTTAAGGAATTAAATGTAATATATCATTGTTGCGAATAAGATACATTCTCGTGGAACTATCAGAAGTTCAAGTACTTCTAACAGTTTACGAACCTAGGTTTTACTAAGAAAAGCTTCCATCGTTGTTGTCGTGCGTCACCTGCACTAAGAAAGTGAATTCATAAAATTCATAAAACCTATTGTCTTTGTGTTTTTAAAATAAATGATATTCGAATGTTTGATGTATTCTTTTTCTCATAATTTGGGTTCTTTTAAGTCTAATGATTTTGTTTGTTCTTGGTCTTATTATCCTTTTATCTTGCATTGTTCACGTTTTTCCACTTAGCTGACCACTTTATTTGTATAGGTCAAACGAGAAATGCCATTACTTGAACAATGGCATTGATTTAATATCTCAACTTCTTCTTTGATCTGCGTTGATTCCCCTTCAGTCTCTACGTGATTAGTATTCAGTTTTCTTTTTTTAATTTTTGAATATCTAGGTTCAAGTGACTTGATCTCTTCTGCTTCAGCTTTTGGAAAGGTTCTTTTGTAACGTGAACGTTTCTATGATTGATGTTGGAAATATTAAATGGGTCGTAGATAAGAATCACTTTGTAATACGTTGATTGATTCTAATGAGAAAGTATATTTACGTTGTCAGGTTGCCTCAGTTGGAAATATTGGGCTGTTGCGTTTCTACCAATGAGTATTATGGTTCATAAAAGTGCCATATTTGACTGAATTCAAACCTGATCACCACCTGACTTCAGTTAAAGAACCACTGAAAATCAGGGAATACTGAATAGTTGTTTCGTCTTAGTTTGAGACTCTTCATCAGTACTCACCCATTACCTCGCAAAGTAGCGAATGGCTAACCATTCGATGCTCTACAAGTACTAACCTCTGTCAGTTTGGGATATACATCGCAAGTGTCCTCACACTCGGCTTGATGGAACTTCACTAGTCATGACTTCTCACTAGAACTTCTTTTCTAGTGTCTGACTGGTCAACGAGCTTGTCGTGTAATCTTACGATCCTGGGTTCAATTTCTGGTGAAGTCATGGGTGTGTACTGATCAAGAGTCCAAAACGAAACAGCTGTTCAGTACTCCATGGTTTTCAGTGGTTCTTCAATTGAAATCAATTCGTGATCAAACTTGAGATTTGGAGTTATTTTGAACGTATAGGGAGTAATTTTTAAGTCACTTTAAATTTTAATCATGTGATTGATACTTTCTTTGTTCTTCGTAGGTTAGTAAATAAGTTATTTATTTATCGAAAAATATTATGAGATGAATGAATGAGAAATGTTTTATTATTTCCAAATAATTCTCTGTCAGGCTATTATACAGTTAGCTTTACACATTGTCAGAATTTTAACTCTTTCGAATGATTTAGAGTGTTTTTTCCTATTCAAGTGAATCTATACAATCGCTGTTGAACTACTCTTCTTCATACATCAGTTATAAGCATTCTAAAAAGGTTTATACGAACTTGTTTTCAATGTAGTACAAACTTGATGTTTTCCAACGTTTGACCTAATTTAACTATTGGAAAATGACATTATATTTGTTGTCATTGCACGACAAATCATCACCGTCATCTTCATCAAAGTGAGGCTGTAATTCCTCAAATTACCGTCTACTTAGATACTGACGTCAGATAATTATCTTTATTCCGTACTACATTCATTATGAGGTATGGTAGATGGAGTTGACTTCAGCTGGCACAAACAAGAGATAAACGTCTATTGTTAATGAATAATACTGACTGAATCTTTCATCGTTATACAGACATATCGCTGTTAAGGAATTGTAATTGGGATCATTTAGGATAAACTTAAAGCTTCCATCCATTCGGTTCGAGATCGGAAGTTTGTTTAAGCTATATGACAATGATAGTTTAAGCAGCGGTAGCATTGTATTACGAATTGAAAGTATACAGAATTCGTACTCCATTAGACTGAAAACAAAGAGGGCTAAGTGGTTATGGGGTTATGTGGTCACTGGCTTGGTACCCTGCATACATTACTGAGGAGTGTTCCTTTCTTTTCCACAGCTGCCTAAATGATATGGATTTGTAATGAAATTTCTCTTAGAATTAGGCGGTTTCTGCATCTTTTTAGGAATGTCATTCATATTTATCTTTAAAAAATGACTCTTTTCGTTAAAATGAAAAGAAAAACAGATAATTCCCGGTGGTTCATTCATTCATAAACCACTCATGTGCGTGTGTGTGTGCTTAGCTGACTACACTCTTTAAGTGTCTGAACAGAATAATTTAGAAAACACAACTCCTTTGGTAAGTTGGTTTTACTATTAGTGAGTATTTGGAAACCAGTCAATATTCATTTATGAATGCTTTTATCATTGGTGAAGTAGAACCCTCTTACACTGAGGGGCTTTTCAAGTAGGAATAGACTAATCTGATGTTGACAAGATTAGTACATCGATAAATAAATAAAATTCTTGTTTAAATTTTATACTTAGACATGAATCTCAACAACAAGCATATAATAGTATGCAGGATGATGATGGTGAATTGTCTGTATCAGCAATGAGTTTGAACGCTCAACCACTACAACAACAACAATATTCACAGCAAACTTATTCTTCTTCTAAACAAAATACAATGGAACGATATGCTAGTGGAGCACATGGAAGTAGTTCATATAGTGTGAATAGTTCAAATAGTGGGCCTATTACAGAATCTGTTGAATCACATCAAGATAAAGGACAAAGTCGTAATCCATCAATAGCATCACAAAGTCAAGATCTAGGCGTAGTACAAGCTAACACTGTAAATAATCAACCTGTTATACTAAGAGATCCTGCAGCATTGGAACAAGAAAAACTTGAACGTGAAGAACAAGAAAGACGAAAAGCATTACAATTGTAAGTGTCAAATTATTGATTAGATTATTCAGAAGAGAGAACAAAAGTATTTGGTTTTTAAACACAGATATTGGAGCAAAGAAACTGTCGTCTTACTGTGTTGTCGTGGCTTCTATGTTGTGGTAAATCTATGTTGTATAATGTGTTTGTTTATTGAGTGTTTTATTTCTTAATATATATACATTCCAGGTAATTAATTAGACTAAACTAAACATTATTTTTAATTTTTCATAAGTGAAATCTTTTATGCATTCAAATAAAGAAATTTATACGAAAAAATAAGCAAAATCGTAATGTTTGCATTTCTCCTCATTCTTATAAGTTCCCAGAGCTTCAAGCTACAGCTTTGCAGTTTCAGTAGCAAGGGCATTATTTTACGAGTTGGAATTGCTAGCCTTATGCCCAATATTTCTTTTTTGTCGGGCTTACAACCGGCTAAGAGATGTGAGAGTGTATGCTGGCCGAAAATTCGAATCCCAGACCAAGTAAATAGTTGGCGAGTAGTCTACCTCTGAAATACTGACACACTAGTATTTACATACATACGTTCAAATTAGGATAGACCCCGTTTTCATGGACTTTTGTAGATTAGAAGTATGCGGTTATTATTTCATATGGAAAAAGATACTCAGCACTAGCTTTAAAAAAATACAGTTTTTGATGTAGTTTTGTTTCTGAGTTGGATGGTTTATTTTCGAGGATCTCATCACTGCTTTACTAGGCAACATCTTCAGCGCATACTTCAATTTGTTGACGTGAGCTTTTGGATTTCTCCACGAGTTTATTAGTCATCTCTTCTGGTGGGTGACCTTGAATGTGATTGGTTGTTTTTGTGTGTTTTCACACCTTCTAGGCCGCTTGTATTGGTGCTGACTGTTTCCTTGACCTGAAGTTTGACGCTTTGTCTCTGAGATTTCCTTCTTCTCGATTGGTAAATTTTATCTATGTCAGTGTGTCTATTGATTGACAATTCACTGGAATACCAGGCTTCTAAGAATCCTCTGGCATTCTTGGTGTTTGTTCTGTCTAATATTTAAACGTTGTCCCATTCGAATTAATGTCCGTTGTTATCTGTATGCAACGATATGAGGGAGTGGATTTCATGTTTTTTGACGGCTAGTTTATGATCATGGATACGAAAACAAAGAGGGCATCCACTACGGCCAATGTAATGTTGTTCACAGTGGTTACAATTTATTTTGTAGATGATGTTAGTTTTATCTTCTTTCATTGTTGAGTCTTTTGGTTGACATAGAGCTGAGTGAAGTGATTCTCGAGTATTGGTTTGTAGGGATTTGGTTGATTGGTTACAGGATTTCATCATGAGCTGACATTGGTTAGAGAACCATTGGAAAACCTAGGAGTACTGGACAGCCGTCTCGTCCTAGTTTGGGACTCTTAATCAGTACGCACCCACCGGGGTTTGAACCCAGGACCTTCTGGTTACAAGGCGAGCTCGTATACCATTAAGCCACTGGGACCCGATCCAATGGCCCATGAATTCTAACTTCTGCCAATTCACGACATAGCGCGACCCCTAGCCAATGTCTTCGGCGAGTATTTGTCCTCACGCCCGACCTGCTGCACCCTACTGGTCACGACTTCTCACTAGAACCCCAGGTGACTACCCACCTGAATAGGGCAAGTCGCTAGTGAGCATCTCATTGACATTCAAGTGTTGGTTTGTAGGGATTCGCTTGATTGGTTACAGGATTTCATCATGAAGTGATTTTGTTTCGATGAAGAAATGTATATATTGTAAATTCCGTTAACAGTATACTTTGTGTTGAAAGGAAGTTAGAAAGCTGCGTCGTAGTGTTAGTATGATAACAGCTGCTTCAAATATACCAAAAGGAATCTATCACTCTATCTGTACATCCAATTTGTTTAATTCATTGAATTATATGTAAAAGGTTCGGTTCCCTTTGTTTTTCATATTTCTGTATAATGTGTGTGTATAATTTTGGCTTGTCCACCAAAATAAAAATTTAAAAATAAAATAAAAATAAAGTATGACGACTTAAGTAAACAGCAGAATGATATCTTGTTTGTACAGTGAACAATGCCATCTGTTACATTCTATGCTAAAAATAAATACCAGGAGTAGTATTATAATTCTTCATTAAAATGCTACAATTAATTGTTATGTTTCTTTTTTCCCAATCAGCTACTTATCTGTGTTGTGCTTTTTTTTATTGAGTAGTATTGTTATTTGTTTATTTATTTTCACTCCAAATGGTTTTGTATAGATTTTGTTTTTGCGTAACAGTTGAATAATAATAATAATAATAGCGCTAATTATGATAATAATAATAATGACAGCTGATGCAGGAGTCAAGTGATACCATTGGTCCTCTTATTTACCTACTTACCATTTGCATCTGTCATGTATGAATTAAATCGACAGATGAGAAATTGGTGGCGTGGCTTTAGGAGACTATCGATGGTGGTTTTTTGGCTTCCGTCGTTTTCAGTGCACACAGAGTGAAGAGGAAGTGAAGAGCCATTAAGTAGAGGAGTTGCATTAGTAGAAGGAAGGCAAGATAATAGAGATGAAGATGAAGACAAAGATGAGTGAGGATTAGAGAGGTTTCGCGTGCACTTCGGATTGTGAGGGCGATTGTTACTTCCCGGCTGCCCACACCGTGGAAGTTGGTTGCGTGACCGCAGAGCCCAGGGGACAACTGCTTGAGGCCGGTCACACACGGCCTGTTTTTGTTTGTTGTTTTTCATTTGGTGTGTCTCAGTAGCACATTTATCACTTCTGCCCTGTGACACGGCAGCAGGAAGCGCGGTCGTTGTTAATCCGGGCCCCGACCGATCCGGCATGATATTTTGTGATTTATTTTGAGTCATAGGATTGGGTTGGGTAACTGCTTTTTGTCTAACCGCTATCCAAACAACCTTTCTGGCATGGTAGGACCTACAGGAACATAAGTTCCAGCCAGTATAGCTTGTTGGGTCATTGCGGTGTTCAAGCCCGACCACCACGTCAAGGTAGCAGCTTTCGGTCGGGAGATGTTAAATTAGCGTGTTAAACATGCATTGCACAGTTAGTAACATTTTATTCCTTTGCATTCCAAGTGGAATATAGAGCTTCAAGCATGAGTTGTGAAGTTCCAAGCTAGTGGTGTCTTTTTACAGGATGAGATTGCTAGCCTCACATTCATCCTTCTTCCATCTTTTAACAGGTTCACTACTGACTAGTCAAGATTTAGGAGTGCATTGGCAGGGAATCGAACCCTAACCACATATATGGTTGGTATGCATTTGACCGCTAAACCACTGTTGTATGTTAACTAATGTTACAATGTGATTATTAGGCTGTTTAATTTGTTAGAGACAAATGGTTCAGCGAAGATGGTAACTAGTGGAAGTGTAACTCATTGGCTTGAAAACTTAATTTGCAAATAACATGCCCTGGGATCGAGTCCCACTTCACCTACTTCAACCTGCATAACTAGGAAGTATCACCAACCCTTACACAATAATAATTGTATGGCCCACAGTCTGGCACATGAAAACTATGTTCCGGGTAGATGAGTTCATGTGAGTAAGATGTTAACTCACACAGTATGCAGATTGTTCATCTACTGATTATGTGTTCACTGTAACTACTAAGTTAAGTCATATAATATTTCAGTGGACCATTATTGGTTTTAGCAGATATTAAGAGCTTACCAGTAGACGAAACCTTCATAATTTCTTTTATATACATATATATGCAGCATTTTGAAAGAACTCACTTTCCGTTGTTGATTCAAACCTGTCTCACACACTGATACTGACGCGTTTAGGTTATATAACCTGTTGATCAGAGAAAGACACGAACAGTTACTAGTGTACATATGGTATAAGAAGCCTAGCTTTATGCTTCATAGTGAGGATATTTATTAATTCGCCTCATCAACCTATTTTTTCAGTATTTGCTTCATTAGTGCCTTGAAGTTTCATCTTCTATTTCTGGGAGTATTGAAAAGAAGAATATGACATGATTTTTACATAACTAAGGAGGGGTGGCATGAATCTTAAGTACATGTACAATTTAAATCTATCCTGTTAAAATAAAATAGTTGCAGCTATTTATGCGTCAGACTGTTGGGAGTGAGGAGACGGGAATACGCTAGACCACCGATAAGAAGATTCTAGAAGATCTGGATTTCGCAGATGACATGTATCTAGTATCACACAAATTCGAAGACTTTTAGGCAGAAACCAACAAACTGGCAGAAGAAGCAGGCAGCGGAGATAGGACTGCAGGTGAACATTGAGAAGACGGAGGTGATGAACGTAACCAGCGAACAGCAACAACAATCAGCACCAATCACCATTAACGGGAGAAGTTTAACAGAGGTTACTCACTTAACTTATGTAGGAAGCATCGTTTCAACCACATGTAGTCGGAAGGGATGGAGATGTCAAAGCAGGCCAGAATCGGAGAGGCAAGATACGTCACCATCAACCTGAAACCTAGTCTTATAGTTCAGCCCTCCATCTTTCCTCAGCTTGCTATCTACTGGTTAGTAAATTAGGCAGGGTTTAGGAGTGTGTCCTCTGGGCATCGAATCTGGAACTTCAGTGTGCCTGATGATCATTCTACCACTGAACCACTGATGAACCAAACTAAGGCAGAGTTTATAGAAAAAAATGCATTTGACATATACACTTGCTTTAGTTAAACACTCTGTAAGGAGAAAACTGGATTTTTAAATATGTATTTCTAAATAGCCATTGTTTCGCCTGATTTAAGATTAAAAGTAGAAGTATTCTTGATCATCACAAAATCCTATTGGATTCCAGCAAGTTTTATGCATCTTCTAGTGAATTAAGGATAACTCAAAAAGTAAACAGTTCCACATTCTTTCAACTGTTTAAATTCTAAATGATTAAATTATAACGTAACACAAATCCATGATTTTAATGTCAATTTCATCACGAACCGCTGAAAAGTAAGAATCACCAAACAGCTGTTGCATCTTAGTCCAGAACTCTTCAGTAGTGCTCACCTACGACCCTATCTACAGAACATTCAGGTTATCCGGCCAAACTCTTTGAAGATTCAGCCAACTTGGACTGGAATTTATGAATTCTTTACTTTCTTGACTAACAACGGAATATACACATTTGATCATAGGGAATAAAAAGACAGTTGCAGCGAAGAAAATTTTCTTTTCGACGAAGTCGTCATCTAGGCTGTACATTATTATTATTCTGAAATTATTCTGGAACTTTCCCATCCATTTGATATCAATACACGAATGTACAGCCCAGATGATGACTTCGTCGAAAAGAAAATTTTCTTCGCTGCAACTGTCTTTCTTGACTAGTTACTAAATAGGAGTACAAGTCTGTTGAGTGGGATACCACTGAAAGTAAACAAAATGTTAGTTATTCACTAGGTAGATAGCCTACAACAAAATTAGTCTAACATTCATGAATTCATATAATAATAATACATGATGATGGGACGAATGCCCAATGATATCAAGCTGAATTATATATATATATATATATATATCCCTTACTTACCTTCCAATGTCTAATATTTTTTGTTTTATAAACCAGATATATAATTCATTTAATTTCAATCGAAGTCATAAAAGATGAATAGTGGAATGCGAACAATTTCCCTTACATAGTTTTATTCTTAAAAAAGAAATACAGTCGAATTCCCTGTATCATAAAACTTCATTAGAAAGTTATTCTCTCTCTCATACTGTTCATAAATTAACGGAAAAACACAACAAAGCCAACTATTAATATGCTTTTTTCCTTATATATGCATATACTGGCTGACTATCTTGCTTCAGCATCTCTCTAAATTCACTTTAAAAGTAATCTACCTTGAAAATAATTGACATAATTATTATTCATGATGAAGCAAGCATAAAATGTACTTTTGTCTTTCTTCTTCTTTTTGACAAAGGCAAAATTATTGATTGATGATTGAGTACAGTGAAAATTTATCAACTATTATTGGCTATTTATTTATTTATTCATTCATTTTTAAAGAATACTCTGTTTTACTGATGACACAGATGAAAAGTCTATGTGCATACGTAATCAAAATAGTTCAGTTTCAGTGTTATTTAAGAATAAATACATTACACTGTAATTGGCTTTTACGAAAGGTTTCTTTTCTTTATGATATGGCATGAAGTAAACCGTAGGGATATGCTTTCTTATCTTGCTTCACTAAAGTATTCGTTATTGGAATATGGTTTTGTAGATGAACTTTCAACTTTTTAGGAGATAATCTAATATTTCATTAATACGCACTGCGATAAGTCTGTATTATCAACTAGTGGTAAGCATAAAACTTTATATACTACTGATTGATTGGGATGAGTAGTTGTGTGCCACTCATTATCAACCAGTAGTGCTTGTTAGCCACTGTGATCTGAATAAGTTGGTTTCCGAAGAAAACTCTTCTGAAAATTTCACTCCTCGAACTATGTACATGGGGAAGTGCTAACTAATTTTCAAAATGTTAATTTGATTTATGGCGTCACCAGTTTGCCCAAGTAGTTAGTCAGATATCCTGTGGTTTGAAATGATTCGGCCCCCTGACCTGAGTCAAAGTGTGTAAACTGCTGAGGAGCTCGCTCTCAAACGAGCTAAGAGGCCACCCGTTGTTTAAATCATTTTGATCTGGTTGGCAAGCATTACTGGTTGATGTGTGTGTGTGTGGTATACAACTACTCATTTCAATCAATCAGTCACTCACTCACTCAATCAATCAGTGAGTAGTATGTAGTTCAGTGCTATTTTGAGTTTGCTTTTCTTTTTGAATGTAAATCAGAGTGTAGAATTTGTCAACTGCAATTTATTAACTATAATTTCGTGAAATGATAAGCGTGTATAAGATTTGGTGAGATTGTGAAAGATAACTGATAGTAGAATAACAGAACAGGGTGATATTTGTCAGCAGAGTTGTAATTTAGAAAAATGATGTAGTAGAGTTGCAGAAAAATACAAAAACGCTATATTTGAATGTTTAGATTTCAGTTAACTTTGCATTGTTATTTTCAGTCTTTTTTCTTTGAACAATGGGGTGAATTTTTGTAGATCAGAGTTGACGTTTATGCTGAATACTGTGGTGTAAACATCTGGTTTCTTTGTTGATTACAACATATTTTAAATATGTAATGAGTAGATTGAAGATTGTAGAATAGTGTAGACTACATGGAAGGATGATCGTCTGTACTTCAGTAAGAGTTTCCGTGATATAAATCAGGTGAATTTTATGCCTTGATTCTAGATGTCGTGTTCACTTTTATTCTTCTCTTCTTTTTATTTAATTATTTTTAATTTTTTTCTACATGCTTTCTCTTTACATTGTCACTTGGTGTAGAAAACCTATACACTGCAGATTTTTACGATCACTCTGTCTTCTTACATCTAACTAATTCATTTTCGGTGATGACAATGTTGCCTATGTCTGTACTGTTCACAATATATAATTCTGTACATTACAATGTGAATAGAATTCGTTTTATTCAACTTATAAAGTGACTGTGAACTTTCAAGAAGCACATAACCTGGGCTTACAGCTCTTTGTATGTCAACTGTAAGTACATAACATGCAGTGTAGTGTCGCATGACAGTACACTTGAGTGGTAGATACGGACCAGAAGTTGAGATTTAGGAGCTGGTATAATTCTGGTCAATTATGCACTTGGTCCGGGTTGTATTCCTGGCTGATGCAAGCTTAAGCCTCATCTAGGCAGTAGTAAGACTAGCCTCGAGGGAACGTTGAGTGTGAGGCTAACAATCCCACATAAGGAAAGCGATATCATTGCTAATGAAACTTTAAAGCTTGAAGCCGTGTGTTCCACTCGGAATGCAAACGAATTAATCAATTATGCATCACCTAGCTATAGATTTGACCATACCATCCACTTTTATGAAATGTATATGGTCGTATAATATTTTAGAGATGAAGTCACAGACCCGCAGTACTATAATTTGTAGTCGCTGAGTTTGAACATATAATGCTGTATTCACGTATAGGACTTCTTCTATATTAACTGGTATTTCGTTGTCACTAGTGGATTATGTCACACCTCTTAAGATCAAAACTAATATTGGTGGTCGTAATTTTTACAAAATAGCCCAACATTTATGTGGAATAATTCTTAAAGTCGGTTACTGGGACAAATACTCACCACTGACATTGGCTGGTAGTTGCGCTATATCGGGAATTGGCAGAAGTTCGAATTCATGGGCGGGCTATCAGGTCAGGTTGAATGGTCTAAGAGCTCACATTGTAACCTAGAAGGTTCGCGGGTTCGAACTCCGTGGTGTGGGTGCATACTGTGAAGAGTCCCAAACAAGGACAAAACAGCTGTCCAGTACTCCCAGGTTTCCCAAAGGTTCTCTAACCGATGTCAGCTAATGATGAAATACTGTAACGAAGTACTCGGTTGAATCTCATCTTTCTTCTTAATCGAACAGTGTTCATCTAAAGTAATCAAATATGAAGCAAATGTTATACTATTAATCTTGTTATTTTACTTTATTCTACTAAAATAACACACTTTTCTTCTTTTTCTTTTATTTATTCTAGATATGTTTTTGTAATGCGTTGCATAGCCTATCCATTTTATTCAAAACCACCAACTGATTTAATACGTCGTTATTTAAAAATAACTAAACAACAATTGAATACATTTAAAGAACGTTTTCAAGCTTTTCTTAGCGGTGAATTAGATGTTGTAGGCGATGAAGCTTTTACAAATGCTGTACAAAGTTATTATGAGGTGAGTGGTATTTTTTCCTTCACGTTCCCAGTGGAACATAGGGCCTCAAGCTAGTGGCTTGAAGTTTCTGTAGCAGTGTTTAATTTTTACAGGATGGGGTTGCTAGCCTCATGCCCAATCTTTCCTCTTTACCAGCATTATTTCTGGTTTAGCGAGGTAAAGGAGTGCGTCGACTGGGGATCGAACCTCGGACCGTGTGCATGGTTGGCGAGCGTCCTAACCGCTATGCCACCGACGCATGGTAAGTGGTATATAGAATTATATAAAATTATATGATAAAATGTTAGGATAATAAAATTTTGCTTTCGATATTGCCTCCACACAAAATTATGAATGCATACTCTCGGTCCTGGTTGTTCTGTGAAAAGCATACTGACAAACATATTTACAAAGAATTTAATACTGGTTACTCTAAGTGTATACATGGCTCAAGAGTAATGTTACAAAATACTCGAGCAACTGGTTCACAGATTCATCATCAAACGTATGAAATTGCCTCTGAATTCTCTGTTAGTATCAGCAGTAACTTCACCTCCATTTATTAGGTCTACAAATGTGTCTTACGATGTAGCCAGGATTAATGATACTTCACCTTCAAGGAATAGAAACCGCTATCTAAAGTAATCTAATTTTAGTTATTTATTATGAATATAATTCAAAGCTGAATTATAACGGGGCATAAACCAGGTGTAAGGAGATTCATCGTGCAGAAGTTTCTGTCGCAACTTTGTTTACAGGGTGGGTTTGCTAGCCTCACGCCTGAGAAGATGATTGTTACATTAAATTATAGAAGCGACGTTGTGGGTTGCTCCAATGTGAAGTCAGTGCTACTATACGGACCAGAGACTTGGCGCGTCATAAAGAGCATCTCAAACAAACTACAGACCTTCATTAACAGCTGTCTTTGCTTAATACTCGAGATAAGATGGCCAGAAAAGATCAGCAATAGAGTTCTCCGGCAATGAGCGAACCAACCAGGAACCAATTGTGAAACAAATAAGCAGGAAGAAATGGAGATGGATTGGCCATACTCTGAGGAAACCATCAAGTGACATCACTAGACAAGCCATTGCTCGAGTGGAACCCGAAAGGGAAGCGGCGAGTTGGTCATCCAAGGGTGATATGGAGGAGGTCATGTGAAGAGGAGATGAAAACGTGTGGGCAGACATGGAGCCAGGTGAAGACTCTAGCAGAGAACAGAACACATTGGAGACGCACGGCTGAAGCCCTATGTTCCTCTAGGAATTAAAGGAAACAATAATAATAATAAATAAACCAGTTGTCTGTATTGCAAACGTCTTCATATCTTAACGAAGATAAGAGGGTTTTCTTGATTCACAATTAATACACAGTTATTCTAGTGAGTTTTCGAACAAATTACCAATACAATATTTTATACCCTTAGTTCATTTGTTTTTCGATATCATTATTCTTTTTGTCTCATACCTCTCTTTGCTGTCTCTATTTTGCGTTTCTTTTTACTTTCTTCTTCTTCTTCTCTGGCTTTGTGTACTGAATGAAGTGTGGCGACTCGAAGTGCTACACATTGGTGCTAAGTTCTATATTGAAACCAGTCAGTCATTTGCATCGGAATCTGAATAGATTCACAATAGGTTGTTATTCACCATTCGAATCTATGTCACAGTTGGACTCTCACGAGTTATAATACACAAGTCTTACATCAGCTTAGTAGCTTATCCTAAGTAGTCACCTGTTTGCGTTACTAATGTATCCCTCCAGTTTTCATTGTTGACTGAAGTTTATCGGATAGGCGTGGAACTTGATCAGTGTTTTGTATGGCATAGCACTGTCGTACAATTTAGTGCTATGTAATATGGCATCAGATGTAAGGCGTCAGTTGTTAATAGGAATTGAGGTCTACTTCCGAAATATAACACTAGTTTATCTCAAACAACAGAATACACTGGGATGTAAAATCTTTAAAAATATGATATGAAAGGCAAATGTTAATTGACTTTCATGACTGAAAAGTAGAGCAGCGCCGATTTTCATTAAAGTCAAAATTTCTATTATTATTATTAATATTATTGGATTTATGAAATGATGAAACAATATATTCTAACTATCATTTCGTTGTAATTTGTATTTCCTTGCTTAGGCGGTAATATTTTCTAAGCTTAGAGTGTAACGAATTTTGGATAAGTACAGCTGAAAATATTTTTGTGTGTGTAAATTTTATTTTTGTTTTTTTTGCAAAAGTATATATATATAATTCTCCTTTTTTTAAGCGACAAAAATACAAGATATACATCCAGATTGCGTGTATTCTCTTCAAATAAATTCGGTAGTTCAACACTTCCATTTTTTCTCTTTTGATTTTCCACTTGATTCCTTTTTCTTTTTTATTATTTGTAAAAAAATGAGTATACCTAATAAGATACTCTCTCAGGTTTACGCTTTAAACAATCTTATCGGTTGAGTAACATGTGATCTAGATCATCAGCAATCAATACAACTGTATGCTGTAATTGAACACTAGTGTCATGCGTCTATTCCTTTGTTTAGTGCAGACTGAATGCTCTCAGTGAAGTTTGCAATGTGACCAACATTCTAGATGGCTCGTCATAACGTCTAGGACTCTAGAGCTGAGTGGCACGGGTCTGAATCTCAGAAGGAACACGAGTTCCTTCGTGATTGGTGACATGAGGCAACAAGCGTGTAACCTAGGTCGATGGCTTCCTGCAGTCTGTCTCCAACCAACTAATACTGTAACAACAGAAGACAAGGCTGGCAACAGATCAGTTTTATTACGAAAACCAACAGGTATTTATATGTATTTTATGTACATTAATAGGCTTCTGCCCGCAGAAAGAAGGCGGTCTTCTGATTGGTTGTTTGCAAACAAACGCAGTCTTCTGCTTTCTCGTTTTCGATATTTCTCGGAAATGCGAGCCACTTGTCTGCGAATCATATTTGTCCACGTCTAGGTCAGCTGTGATCGGTTGTTGAATCAGCCTAGATTAATTTCGACCAATCAGCGTGGATCAATGTCTACCAATTGGCTAGCAGCTTGCTCTCACCACAATACTACTGTATATTTTGTTTTATGGACAAGGCTTGTATAGTGTCTGTGCCTATCGCATGGCAGTAAAAATAGTTCTTTTCTGTGAATTTTAGCATCTTTATTACAAAAAATGTTAAAAGGGGAGACGTTAGTAAAATAGGATTTCGAATGTCAGTCGTATCGACAAAAAATGATGTGAATGTCGTTCTTTCAAGTTTACTTTTTGTTTCTTGTTCCTACTAAGTAACTTAAATGCACATGCTTGCATCTATAATCAAGTGAAGTGGTAAATTAATGACTTAAACGATAACATGGTCGCCCTACTTATTGTTGTTGTCAAGTTGTTTTCAGTCTCTGTTAATTCTGCCTTTATCAAGTGTTGGCTTACAGGGATTTGATTGGTTACAGATTTAATCACAGGTTGACATCAGTCAGAGAACCACTGAAAAACCTGGGAATACTGAATGAATATTTCGTCCTAGTTCGAGGCTTCTTTGTCAGGAAGCACCCTCTAGGGTTAGAACCCAGGACCTTCCAGTTACAAGGTGAGCTCTTAGACCATTCAGTCACTGGAACCAGCTCCAATGGCCTTCACATGAATTTCAAATTCTGCCAACTTGCTATATATATATATATATTAATGTATAGTGCAATCGCCAGCCGATGTGTTGGGCGAGTAACTGGTCTCTCACCTGAATTGGTGGACTCCACTGGTTGAGAATTCTCATTAGAACTCCATGTTTGTGAATAATGCAATAACACATATTTTGAATAACTAGATGTACATATCTGAGTCTTTTCGTTAGCTATTATTACCATCAAATTATTCTCTATCACACTCATATTTATTCGTACATATGTATCATTATTTATTCTGTACTTGTCTTTGTGAATTTTTTTGAAGCGTGAAAACTTTAACTGATGCATATCTGCCATAAACTGTACGTTAGTTTTCCCTGAATTCAGTCAGCCAGTCAGTCAGTTTATTTTATCCATGTGTCTTTCTGCGAAATGTTTATGCATTTCTTTACACACCTTGTATTCTCATTACGCATAGTTACTTTTTTTCAAATTTATTTTCAGTGAGTTTACTTCTCATACTATATGTATAACTATATGTTTTGTTTCTAAATTGACCACCGATTGATATCAGTTAGAGGATCACTGATCTTTTTTCACTTTGAATTTTTCTGTGATGACGTCAAAGATAGTTGGCTCGTGAACTGAATGAAATTAGACATCTGAAAGTCAGACTTATTGTCTGCGGCAGTTTTTATTTTTAAGGAAAAGTACCATTTTTTTAATATAATACATCGATATACTTTATTCTGTTGTTCCTGATTTATCTTTGGTTTTGATGAATTCAACATTTTTTATCCATATATTCTCTTAACTTATAAAGCTTTAATGTTATGCATGATAAATGGTTTCAATGTGGGATCTGTTATAGTTTTTTGTCTCTTACTAGAAACCAGGTTGAATCTGTCATTTTCTCTGGTTTCTTAAGGTCTTCCGAAAATGTTTATACTAGGCTTAGAGTGATTTTAGAAGTTAAGTTAGGAGGGTAAGTCAATCGAGTGAGACGGCTAGGAGAGGTGTTATGCATGCCGAGCCACCGCATTCCTCGACTACCATTATTAGTTGACATATGATTAAGTTGCAAAAGAGTTATAAGTCGTCAAACCTAAACCCGACATCAGTTCATGAAGTATTCGACAGATGGTTTGAGCCACCTAGGGAGGTGTAGAATGGTTGTTTGAGGTGCCCGAGATGCTAAGAACCAACAATTAGTAGTAGTTTTTCCTTTCCGTTCCTAGTGACACATAAGGCAGTTGTGGTGCTGTATGTTTAGGAGAAGGGTTGCTAGGCGCATGCCAAACCTTCCGTCTTTACCGGTCTTATTACCAGCTTAGCTAGATAAAGGAGTACATCAGCCGGGGACTGAACCCCTGACGACATGCGTGATCGGCCACCGATGCACTAAGAACCAATAGCTAAGGGCTGTTAGTGGTGTGTCTCAAAATTATTCACAGTGATACAGATGGATTCACTCTTTGAGATCTGCCATATCCATTATACCCTGTTGTTTTTCTATGTTACTATTCTTTCTCCCGTACGTTTTTGCTCATTCTTCTTTTGAATCTCTCTTCTTTTTCTCTGCCTTTGTGCGCTGCTCAGAGTTTGGCAACTTGAAGTGCTACTCTTCTGTGCAAAGTTCTCTGTTAAAACTCACTCCTTTTAAAATTTAGATCTTATACTTATAAAACTATGGTACTCAATGTATATTGTGCTATTCAGCAGGACATGAACAATAGGTTATTATACTTTTAAAAAATATCACATCGTTTGGTGTTCGTATTCTGATTAAGTGAAATTCACTTGATTTCATCACCAGGATCTATCCCCTGTGAAGTTATAGGTGTATACCGTGAGGAGTCCCAAAGTAAAATGGAAGAACTATCCACTACTGCCTGATTTTCACTGATTCCCTAACTGATATGAATCTGTGATCCAACTTGAGACCAATCAAATCCCTACAAGATGTTTGAGATCATACTATTTTTAAGACAAATCCGCATAGTTGCCAACATCTCTTCATGTAATTATTTTATTTCTATTATTGTTATTTTCCTGTTTTTTTTTGTTGGAAAAACAAACCATAGGTATTTTTACGCAGTGATCGTGTAGCAAGTATGGTACGTGGTGGTGGTTGTTCAATGCATGATTTTCGTGAGGTGTTTCGATTGAACAGTGAACATCGTGTACAGTGTTTACCACAAATTGAAGGTTTAAATAAAGCTAATGTTGTCAGTGCATGGATGGTAAAATTTGATCAAATATGTCGTGGTGGTGCTGGCCCATCATCTGTTCTACAGAAATTACAAGTTCCTCAACCAGAATTAGTAATGACTAAAGAACAATTATATGAATTATTTCAAGCTACATTAGGTGTGAAAAAGTATGAACATCAGATATTATATAATGCATTACAAGTGAGTTTTAAATATAAGCGATGGATTTTTTTTGTTGCTGTATTGTAATATATCTACATATGTTGATTAATGTAGTCCTATTTGATTACTACTCACAAAGTATACAGTTGGTTTCATCACATTTTATAAATGGCTTATTTGTTAACTTAGAGCATCAGTGTTCATTTCGTTTGAAAGATTGTTAGATTGTAGCGATTGATTGGATTATAGTGTCAACTGATGAAAATAATCATTTGAAACTATTTTAAATGAATTTATCCCTAAATCATTATTATTATTGATCCCTGGGCTTTGCCAGCATATCTCAATTTTACACTATTCTCCGCAGTTTTCTTTATTTGGTTATAGGATTGTCCATAAGCCTTCATTTCCTCTTCATATGATCTCTTTCATGTCACCCTAGGACTCGCTACCAACTTGTCGTCTTCAGTTCGAGTTCCACTCGAATGCCTAACTGGCGCGCATGATGTCATACAACAATCTCTTCCGCTTATATCCAATCCTTACAATTCACTTAATTCAATATTTATCCCATTTTGTAAGATGAATACGTTACCTGCTGATGGTTGTCAAGTTTACTCGGTTGAGTTATACAACTTATGAATTCCGTTGAAGATTTTTCTGTATTCTTATTTAACAGGTTGAGATAGAGATGAATTTGAAGTGGCAGTATGTAAGCAATTAGTTGAAACCTAAATAACTATAATAATAATAGTCACTTTTTTATTCTGTTTATGAACTCAGAGATAATCTTAGCTTTTATTGGCAAAAGGCGCTCTTATGCGAGGTGTGTTCATCACATTGGTGAGCATTTAACATTTTGCCACTCACTAACTTAAAGTCATTCACAAAACTTTTTGTTTAATATTCAAGTATTGGTTAGTAGGGATTTGACTGATTGGTTACACGATTTAATCATGAGCCGACATCGGTTAGAGAACCATTGCAAAACCTAGGAATACTGAAGAGCTGTTTCGTTCTAGTTTGGGACTCTTCAGCACTATGCGTCCCCGGGGTTCGAACCGAGGACCTTCTGGATACAAGGTGAGCTTGTAGACCATTGAGCTATTAGGACCTGATCCAATTACCCATGAATTCTAACTTCTGTCAATTCACGACATAGCATTGTCAGTAACTACAACTTGGTGAAATGTTACATAATCATGGGAACTAACCAGTGGTCGTATAGTTCCCTACAAGTGTTTGTTTCACATATATACTAACTTCCATGTAACTTAAGAGGTAATGACAGGCCTCAGTTTTTAGTATCTAGTGTATTTTTCTTCAGGTTAATGTAGTCATCACTTTAGCAGATGTACATGTTGTAATTAAAATGAAAAGATTCGGGCCTTGTTCAGTTAGAAGACTGACTAACTAATTCACAACACACTGCTATCTCTTGAGTCGAAATTTGACTAATATTAAGCAGACATTATTATTTCAGTGGTGGGCATAATGGTTATAGTGAGTTTAAATGCTACCTGTTGTATTATTATAACTACGGATAAAATGTAATAATGCGAATCCATTACAGGATATGTTGGTTTTTAAGTTACCTATATATTCAACCAGTAATATTCAGTAGAATGTGTTCAAGTCAAATTAACATTTTGCAAATCAGTTAGCAATTTCCACTATACATAGTTAAAGGGTTAAAATCGTCAGATCACAGTGAATGATCTGCTTGGACATCATAAATGGTAATCAACAAAGCAAACAAACTTGCATGAAACACTATATACTACTGACTAGTCAAGATGAGTAGTTGTACACCACACATTTTCAATCAGTAGTGCTTGCTAGCGAGAGCGAGGTAATCTAATAATATATAATAATAATAAGGCTTTATTTCAGACAATATGCGGAAATATGATACAGAGATTTTCAGCGTATTTACTTCCAAAAATACTTTCTTTTTCATACGGGTTTTGCATGTAAACTAATATTTTGTAGTACATCTTCATTTCGTTGAAGAATTGCACAGAGGTTACTTGTAAGCAAGTTAAATCAGCGCGATTTCATGTAGAGGTCATTTGACATAACTGGACGAATGAAACAATGATGAATCCAAATGAAATTAAGCATTTTAGTGGAAGTAATTTTAGTAGCTCAGTGATTCAAGCAGGCCGCCTGTTATATCTGTATATCTAAACACTGGATGGCTATCTCGCTCATCTCCAGACGAGCTCATCATCTTGATTAGCATTTATGGCATTAAGCAGATCACATACTGTGATCCGAATAATTTCGTTTCCGGAGAAAACTCTGCTGAAAATTTCACGCCTCAAACTGTGTACATGACAAATTGCTAACCAGTTTTCAAAATTTGGATTTGGATTTATGGTGTCATCACTTTACTCAAGTAGTTAGTCAGAAATCCAGTAGTCTGTACTTATTCGGCTCTGTGAGTTGTAGTTCGGTACTATTTTGAAGTTGGTTTTCTTTTCCAATGTAAATCAGAGTGTAGAATCTGTCAAGTTCAGTATATTAACTATAATTTCGTAAAACGGTAAGCGTGTATAAGATTTGGTGAGATTGTGAAAGATAACTGATAGTGGAATAACAGAACAGGGTGGTATTTTTCAGTAGAATTGTAATTTAGAAAAATGATTTAGTAGAGTTATGGGAAAATACAAAAACGTTACACTGAAATCTCCATTCACACTTGTTCTTGTATTGTACTTCTTTTGTTACGCTCTCGTGTTTCATGGAGATCTTTCACTTCTTCTCTTTGCCATTTAATCCGTCTCTCCTCTATTCAATACTTTTGCAGAAAACATCACACATTATATACTCCTTACAACATATTTTAACTATACTGTATTAATGTGTTACTGCTTGTACGCCAATCTAACCAGATTACTTCTCACTGAGTGTCGTCCTTTGAGTGTCAACTTTTATCCTAAAGACACTTCACTGAATGAATATTTAAGAAGACATGAACAATGTGTAGCAGAAGTATTACTTATAGCTGTAATAACACATATTGTGTTGTATGAGAGAAATGATAAATGGGTTAGTGTATTATGATAAAATCTATCATATAATGTAGAAAATATATAAATAGATATAAAAGTAGCAGGGATTAATCACTGATTCAGATAACTGAAACGGAATCATTTTTATATCCTGGACAGGTTAACTGATTTTTACTCAAGATTAAAATTGAGGATACAGTAGGCTTTAATTTAAGGAAAGGTAACAGGTTGAAGGAGAACATTTTACCCAGAATAAAGTCTAGGTTTCAAGGCATTTTTTTTTCGGTGTACAAAAAGAAAGGCAGTTCATATTAAAATTCTCAAGACTGTTTAAATTTTGAGAAAGTAAAAATATATGTGGATTGAGAAGCATTTTGAAAAACTCTGTTAACGGTTTTAAACTGGTTGAATAAAGAGAGTTAGCTGAATGTTTAAGTACATTGATTTTTCTTGGCTTCAGTTTTATTATATCAAGTCACAATATACTGTTGACCACAGTCAGCGTACATAGTCTTACCTAATACCATGCGAAGACCGTTAGATGTATTTATGCAGAAGAAACCCGTACAACGCAAGTTTTCACCTCATAACATTCCACTTTTCGAACAGTAAGACCTGCCTTTTGTGTTGTTGCGTAATATATAGTCCTATGGCTTTTTGAATAAGCTTCTGGAGTTCCAATCAATAGGTAATGAGTTCAAACATCTCTTCAACGACCAAGAAAAACGAAACCTGGTAGTGTCTGCTGTCATCCAATAACAGCTTTTCCTCAATTTCAGGTGCATAAACATGCATATGCTTGTCGTGAAACCTAATTATTGCTCACAAGATGAAGTTTTACTAGAACAATTTTAATACAAATTTATACTGTGTCCAACTAATTTCACGCAATGATTAATCACTAGATAAATAGAAACAATAATAAAACTTTATATTTTATTATACGAATCCATATAATCACAACTGACTCACAACTCTCTCTACACTATACACAAAACTACCCTTTACAAGAAATGAGCAGTACTCACTTTATTTATTAAGGTTGCTGTTATTTATATTTTTTCCTGTTTAGTGATTGGTATTATTTGCCTGAGTAGGAATGCCAGTCTCACATCCAACCTTCCCTCGTTTTCCGGCCTTAGAACCGGCTAGTAAACTGGATGATGATCTAAATTATTTGACCCTAACAGGATAAGAAATCTGGAGAATAGTTCAGTCGTAGCGCTACATGTAGCTACAATAAGATGGGATAAGATGGCAGTTCTAATTTAATATAACAGGTTGAAGGGAGAGAGCTTTATTTATCGAATCGACTAGAGATATGTGCAATAGAAATCATTCAGTGCCTGTCCCAGACAACTAGAAAATTCTACCACTCCTATGATGTATAGGAAGGAATCAAAAAGACTATAAGACGAAAGCTTCGAAGTTGTGCACTTATAATTGATATGATTATAAACAATAAGTTGTGTTCGAAACTTCGTTATCGAGTAAATAATACTGTTTTCGATTGGACACTAGTCAGTAATAAGTGTAATGTGTATGTGTGTCTGGTCCTATCTTTCTTACAGACTGAATTCTATCAGTCAAGTTTGCTAGGTGGCTCGCCATCACAGTATGCTCAGAATTGTTGTTGTTAGATGGTTTGAGGCAATCGGCAGAAAGCCTTTGACATGAGTTGCGTGCTAACTGGAAATCGTCAGCCCTGAGCTATTCAGAGCCGCGATTGACTTGACAGATAGAATTCAGTCTGTAAGAAAGATGAGACTAAGCATACACACACACACATTACACTAGTTACTAACTAGCGTCCAATCAAAATGTCAATACGGTCCAACAGGAGGTCAACCACGAGCCTGAATAGCTCAGTTGTAAAGTCTCTGACTGCAGGCGGCACTGGGTGACGCGGGTTCGAATCTCAGAAGGGACATGAGTTCTTTCAAGGTTGCAGATACGCCTTACTGACTGATGAGTGCCAACCAGAATGAAACCTAGGTCAGGAAAGGCTTCGTGCTGATTGCC